TAAATTGATAAAATTTCGAAAACTAAACACTTTTGAAATAGACAACCTTACACAAAATTACTCTTATTTTTATTACCGAAGAAGATAAAATTATCAAAAATGGGGGTTTCCATTTAAAAAAATTGATTTTTAGCGGTTTGCTCGACGTCATTTTCAAACTATTTTTTTAACACTTTATATTAATAGTTATCAAAATTTTAACAAAATTCAATTAAAGTAAGTCCTTTTCAAAAAGAAATGCGACTCAACCTAAGTAGGACATATTACCTTAATTCGGGTGGTTGTAACTGTTATTTTTTACACAAAATTTTAAATATATCAAAAACCAGCATAAAAATATTTTAGAAAATATTTTATTAATCTCTAACATCACATATTTCTCAACATCAAATCCCATGGAATGCTTTAATAATTCTAGCACAGGAACATTAACAAAAAAACATTAAATTAAAGACCATAAATAAATATTAAGGAGATAAATTATAAACAGATTATTAAAGAAAATAAAAACTTGCTTTTTAACACATCAATTTAGCMTTCGTAAAAAAGTTATTAATATACCCTTTTTAGGCATCGTTTGAGAACGATACCAGATTTGGTATTGAAACGTCAAGGTAACTATTCCAAATTAATTTATCTACTAATTGAAAAAAATGTCTTACAGCTTGAGTAAGAATTCGTTCTTTACTGTAAAATAAGAGCAGTCTTTATCAGTCTGTAATAGACGACATGAGGAAATTATGTCTTTTTAGAAACACAATTTAGGCGAAATAACTAAGGAAAAGGTTTTGAACACATGAATCCGCCTCAATCAAACTTATCTCAATCGAACTTATCAGAATGACAGTATATTTGAAATAACTCGACTTATGTTACTAATAAATCCTACTTCAAAATCATTATATTATTGATATTGAATGAACCGAAATAGTCAATATATCATCTTCAGATATCAAGCTATTTATTATTCATTTCAAAACCATACCTCATAATAAATCTATAGCTACATGCTATTTCAGTATTGTTCAATGGCAATACTTCACCTGAAAAAAAAAGACGTCTTTATATCATTTTTAACCTTTGCTTTCAAATGTAATTGTGAATGAGAATCGATGGAGAACAATGCAATATTTTATATGGCAATCACTCAACAATTCAGTGATATTTTTGAGTAAATTGCCTTTGAATAGTGATCAATTAATGACGTTCCGGATAAGCTAAATATTCGATTTCACTTTAATAGTGTGCATTTCTCAGTGAAAATATGTAATTTGAAAATTTATCATTTGAAAAATGCGGCTTAGCTCGCCACGAACTCCATAATGCCGAATGGAATTGGATAACTTAAAAGAGCATAAAGGGAATTTCTTAAATCATTTCCTATTTTCCACGAACATCGACGTTTGAAAGTCATACATTTAAAAAGGAATGAATACGTGAATGAATATTTTCAATGCACTTTAGCCAACTGAAAGAGTAAATCCATCTGAAGTGGAAAACCCCATCTTCAGTTTT